CCCACCACCATGAAAGATCTTTGGCATTTAAGAGGGCCACTGATCTCTTCTTATTAGTAAATATGCTAGTCTTATTAATAAAATGATTAAATTATCCAGAACTTTTTCCTAAAACTTTTTAAATGCCCTAATAAAGGATAGTGATCAAGAGAGCAGTTTGAGCCTTAAAATTATTTCCCCCAGAGTAACAACATTTAGAAGGGCAGATAGAAATAATACTAACCCAGAGCCCCTGTCTGAGGAAAGCAGCATGTCCAGTCTGTAGCCTCAATCTCTTGTTCCCCTTTAGGCAGGATTCTTCAGGCAGACACATAACCTATATGGACAACACACATACCATGCCCCTTACACACAGAACTGGTTATCTTACTTCTCATATCAAAAGTCTTCAGTGACTTCCTATGCTTCCTGATTGAAATTCACATTCCTATGTCAGACTAGGGCCTCCACAGTAGATGAGCAGCTTACTTTTTTTTTTTTTAAACTGGGGCAGGAGAGGTTGATCATCAACCAGTATTTACTAAAAATTCTCAGGTTACACAGCCCTTTGAAAAGCTTTATGTTGATTTGGTAATGACAAGGATCTGGAATTATAATTTGAATAGAATGCCTAAGTACTTTGCCTGAATCTGAAACACTCTCCAGACTTTAAGGCATACTACACAGAGCAGTGGCCATCAGGGGCCATCCTCAGCCCATGTAGGAATAGTGGAGGAGTGGCAGCTTGGTGGCACCATAGTCCACAGAGCGCCAGGCCTGGAGTCAGGAAGACTTCCTGAGTTCAAATCTATCCTCTGACATTTACTAGCTCTGGTAAATGAGCTGGCCAAGTCACTTAACTCTGCTTGCCTCAGTTTCCTTATCTGTAAAATGGAGAAGAAAATGGCAAAAATACTCTGGTATTTCTGTCAAGAAAACCCCAAATACGGTCACAAAGAGTCTGATACTCCTGAAAAAGGGCTGAACAACAACACTAATCATCACAACATGCCTTGTACATAGTAGGTTTTAAATAAATATTTATTGAATTTATTTTAACTGATAAATATTGAAATGGATGGGCCGAGAGTAACCAGACACACGCCAAATTAGAAAATAGAGAGCATTTACTGGAGCCGGCCAGCGACTGTCCCCTGGATGCAATCCTAGGAGAAACAGTGCCAAGCAAGGAAATAACAAAGCTTTATACCCAGCAGTTTACAATCGTAGATACTAATCCTTTGATGTAGTGAAATTTACAATTGTGGATTAGCAATCCTTTGAGGTAGGGGAAGTTACAATCGTGATTAGCAATCCTTTGTTGTAGAAACTAAGGAGGTCAGGCTAGGGTGGGGGATTGTTTTTGTGACAACTCAGTCCACTTCACTCCCCCCTTTTCACGGACGAAAAGAGTCAGACGGGGGACTCATCAGAGTTCAGAGGAGCATAGGATTGACGCAGGACAAACAACTGGAGTGCTTGCATTCGTTTCTGGACATAACGGGTTATGCATTTTATGAAACAAGGGGCCACGAGTAACCCAAGGAGGAGAAGGACCAGAGGGCCCATCATTCCGGAGATTAGGGTGGTTAGCCAGGGGGACCAATTATACAGGGTCTGATACCAAGAAGACCCCGTTGCCCGTGCGCGGTCCCTCTCATCTAACCGCTGCCTAAGGGCTTGCAAGGACTCCCGAATAACTCCAGACCGATTGGCGTAGAAACAGCAGGTTTCTCCCAACGCCATGCATAAGCCTCCCTGTTTGAGGAACAGTAGGTCCAAGCCTCGGCGGTTCTGGAGAACCACCTCAGCCAAGGAGTCTAGAGAAGTTTCAAGGTGTGAGACTAGCTCTTCCAAGGAGCGTAGGTCCTTGTCTACCTGTGCACTCAAGGCACCGTAGTTGGCTTTTCCCTGTATCAGGGCTGAGGCCCCAACAGCAGCGGAGCCGGCCACTCTGAGTCCCACCAATATAGGAACCAAGATAGGTGCAGCCCTCCTGGAGTGAGTTAGGCCAAAATGCTCAGCTGCCCCTTCCTCTGAGTAGACATATACCTGAGGAAAGACACGCACCACTACACAGAGCTTGGTCGGGTTGAGGAAATGAATGCCCTGTATGCAGGTTGTGAGTCCTCTGGTACAAGCGAACCATACTCCAGGTGGGGCGGTTAACAGGAGGTCAGAGCTTTGGATGTGGGGGAAATAAGAATGGCTGAAGTGCACGTAGCGTTGAACGGGGAGGACCGCAGCGGGTAGTCAGGCCCGAGCAAACACATTCCTTTGCCCTGGACATCATCTAGGGTAAGTCTAGGCTTGTCTGGGTTACAGCGGGCAGGTATGGCAGAGGGTCGTTTGGACTTACTTAAAGACAACTTTCCCACAGAGGTGATGTTAAGTTCGATAGCAATTCCTACGAAATAAGGGGGGGCTGGATTCAGACACAGCCAACAGGAGGTGGTTATGTTTGGATCAGACAAATTTAGGAATGAGTGGACAGCAGAGAGTGTGTCAAAAATGGGGGAACCTAGATTAGTGGGGGTCCCTGGATTTTCGGGAGCCTCTGGTACCAGGTCCCTAACAGATGGTGGGGCGAGAGTCAACATGGCTTGTGGGTTAAGGATGGGATTCGGACCTATTGGGAGTGTACGGGCGGGAACTGCGATTTTCTGAATGGTAAAGAGGACCCCATTATCCCACCCAGTCATGTATAACCTTAAACCCCAAGAATGCCCGAGATTCCAAGAGTCATCAGTGTCCTGCTTGACTGTTAGGATCATAGGGTTACATTTCCCAGGCCAGCAGGAGGCGGGGAGGGGGCTTTGTCTCTTCAGGGTGATTAGGGGGTCCCGGCCGCCCCTAGGAATCCACCCGGCCACAGTCTCACAACCCCATTCTGCACAATGAAAGTGACTACTACCCTGACAGGAAGGATTCCCCGTGGCCGGACAAGCATAGAATTCAATACTTCTGATCCTCACTTCCCCTGCCCCGGGTGTGGTTTGAGTGGTGGGAATGGGAATAGTGGGGCAGTATCCCCTTCCCCCAGTGATAGGGTCCCGTATAGCCCGGTTTTGATTCCATCCTGATCCCAAGAGGGTACAGAGGTCAAACCTGAAAGTGGGGGCTCCGTAACTGGTGAGAGCTTGGACAGTGGTCCCATCGTTAGTTCGGGAGAGAATCCACCTGGATAGGGTAGGGCTATAGGGGTCACCCAAAGTCATCCCACAAGCAAAAAGAAAGAGAAAAAGAGTCAAGTTCTGGAGAGTCGGAGCTTTAGGTCGGACACTGCTTCTGCTGTCCAGGCGGTGGAGTTGGGCTCTGGGGCCTTCTTGATGTGTGACCGATGTATCCATGCCTTGCGGCCGGCAACCTTGACGGCAGAGGGGTTGCAGAGGATAATTTGATACGGGCCCGTCCACCGTGGTTCCAGGGCTGGTCCAGCTGGAAGCTTGCGAGTGAGGACCCAGTCTCCCGGTGACAGGACGTCCGATGAAGTTGCAGGGGCTGGTTCTTTCCCCGCAGCTTTCAGGACCAAGCGCACAGCGTTCTGGACCTCATGCAAAGCCTGGAAGGACGCGATCAGTGTTGGGGTCCCAGTCGGGCCGGTTCTCAGGGAAGATGTGGTTGCGGTGCCCCAGGTCAGTAGAGGGATGTCCATCTGGGTCCAGAACTCCCTTCCTGGCTTCTAAAAGAATCCTGTCACGCTCCTAGGTTGTGAAAAGAACCCGGAGGAGTTGCTGGCAGTCATCCCAAGTGGGCTGATGAGTATAAAAGACAGTCTCTAGGAGGGAGATTAGGCTCTGGGGCTTATCAGAGAAGGATGGGTTTTGCTGTTTCCAATTGTACAAATCACTGGTGGAGAAGGGAACATATACCATGAACGGTCTCCCTGATTCTCTGGGAGGGGAAGGAACTTGCCGCAGGGGAAACGCTGACACAGTGGAATCAGGGGTCAAACCAGAATTAGAAGGGCCATAAGGAGCACCTGCTCGAGTATGGGGTGGACTTATCAGAGGAGGGGCTGAGGGGCTCAGAGACCCTGAGGTTGGGTACGGGGGTGGATCTGAAACCTGGGACTGGGAGTACTCGGCTGGATCTAGGGGGTCAGAATCAGGGGGTGGTAAGACAGGAGAAAGCTGTGTGACGACCTTAGGACTTTCGGGAGGCTTGCGGCTAAAGGTCGTCTTTGATTCCGTTCCTGGTCTTAGTTTTGAAAGAGCCTGGACCTGTAGTGGTCCTGAAGGGGGTTTGAAATCAATCCAGGCGGTGATATAGGGGACCTGATCGGGGTGGCCAGGTATACCATAGACAATTCTCCTTACCCGGCCGGCCACTGAGATGTCAAACGTACCCTCCGGGGGCCAGCCTACCTCGAAGGTGGGCCATTCCTGTTGGCAAAAGAGAGCTAGTTTCTTCTTAGTAACCTGAAACCCATAACCTTCTGCTATACGCCGATATCGCTTGAAGTTCCGTAAGACAATAAAGAGAGGGGAGCCTGGCTTAGGGCTCGAGGGTCCCTGTCCCATGGTGGATTAAGGACTGAGAAAGAAAAGAGTAACAAATAGACGTGCTCACGTAGGCAAGGACCAAACACGGACACAGGGAAGACACAGTCAAGACAGGGTAGAGGGGAATCAAACTGCCTCAATTCCGAATAACCTGGACAATGAGACAGGAATTTACACCCCCCCCCCCCCCCACGGAACAAATAGTAGATAGACGCACACACACACAGTCGACACAAAAACGGGAAAAAGACACAGTCAAAACCCTGGATGCTCCTGACACAGTAGCGGGGAACGAACCCGTCTCAGTTCTGAACAACCTGGAGAATGAGGCAGGAAGTCTTCCCCCCCCACCCCGCCACGGAGCGCACAGTGGACACACACACACACACACACAGTGACATCGGCGCCGGACAGACACAATCAGACAGGCAGGACTCTCACACGGCATCCCGTGGAGGTCAGTAAGGGCGTTGCAGCTGCGTCCAGCCTGGCCACTTACTTCAGAAGAGTACTCACCAGAACAGACAGATTACAGATTGCTCTATGCCCAGTTGAGGATTTGTGGTCCGGGCAGCCTGGTGCGCACGGGCTATCTCAGCGTTCGGGGCCAGGGAACGTCTTCCTGGTGGCCACCCCCTGGACGGTGAGAAGCCTGGCCTTCCAGAGATGCCCGTGTCTGGTGCCCAGAGGGCTATCTCGGTGGAACCTCCAAATGAAATGGACGGGCCGAGAGTAACCAGACACATGCCAAATTAGAAAATAGAGAGCATTTACTGGAGCCAGCCAGCGACTGTTCCCTGGATGCAATCCTAGGAGAAACAGTGCCAAGCAAGGAAATAACAAAGCTTTATACCCAGCAGTTTACAATCGTAGATACTAATCCTTTGATGTAGTGAAATTTACAATTGTGGATTAGCAATCCTTTGAGGTAGGGGAAGTTACAATCGTGATTAGCAATCCTTTGTTGTAGAAACTAAGGAGGTCAGGCTAGGGTGGGGGATTGTTTTTGTGACAACTCAGTCCACTTCAAATATGTGCAATGTAATGTCTTAAAATTAGATAGTTTCTGGGTAGGACTGGCTTGAAAATGGTAGCATTCAAATATGTTGAAATCATAGCACATTAAATTAGTCTTCTGGATTCAAACGAAGAATTGATTCTGGTGGGAGAATTGTCTTGTCATTCGAAACATATTTTAAATGCACAGTCTTATTACCTGTCATTTAAAAATAAGTACTTTAATATTAATAGCTATTTTAATTTCCTTTCTTTGGAGCCCTATCTCTCCCTCCCCTTTCAGTCCATTCTCCCTTAACCCCCTCCCCCAGCTCCCACACTACCTAAGTTTGGTTAGGGAAAAATTTTATCTATTGCCCATTTTTAATGCAGAGACAAAATTCGAGAAAGCTACAAACGGCCTGACCCTGTTCAATCCTCTCTATATCAGTTATCCTAAGGGTAGGGAAAAGATGCCAACACGTTAGTGTCATTTTTCTCCTTAGCAAGCTACAATATTCACATTATGTGTGTATGTGTGCGAGAGTATGAACATGTATATAATAACTCATATTTATATAGTGCTTTAAGAGTTGCAAAGTTCTTGTGATGCCCTTTTTTTTTCCACTTTAATTTTCCCAACAACACAGTGAGGTAAGTGTGACAGGTATCTTCATTTTATAGATGAAAAAATTAGATTGAGATGAGTGAAACAACCTACCCGTGGTCACACAGCTAATAAGTGTTTGATATAGGATTTGAACCAGAGTCTTCCAGGCTTCAGGTAAATAAATCTTTTTATCCAGTATGCTACCCATTGTAGTAAGGTAGAAAGAATTGCAGACTAGGATTTGGGAGATCTGTGTTTTCTTCCCAGCTCTTGCTGTCACTCTGGGACCTTGAACAAAGCTCTGAGCCACACCTGGCCTCGATTATTTCCTCTATAAATTAAGGAGATAGAATAAAATAAAGACCTTCCCAACATTATTAATATGTGAATTGTTTGAGGGCAAGAGTCTGTGTTTTTGCCTTTTTTTGTAGCCCTAGTATTTACACAGTGCCTGGAACACAGTAAGCATGCAATAATTGTTGGCTGACTGCTGATTGACTCTCAAATCCTATAAATTCTATGAATGGAAGGCTGGTATGATGGGGTATCTGTGGGCAGTAGAAAAACATAGTTTTGATACCTGGTTGTCTCATTGTTACAGTAGTTCTCTGGTTTCAAGATAATCAGGAGCCACACAGTGTTCTGATTGGAGTCACATATACAGTTGCTTGCCTGGTAGGTATATGTTTGAAGTCCCACAAAGTGAATTGCATTAAGTCTTTTGGCTCAAAATCATGGACTCACAGACTATTAGAGCTTGAATGCACTTAAATCAATCAACAAGCATTTATTAATATCTGCTATGTACCAGTCATTGTGTTAGCTGTCAAGGATACAAAGATAGATGAGGTCTCTGCCCTCAATAAGCTTACATTCTTTTGGGGAAAATGACATGTATATAGAAAAGGGATTTCAAAATGACAAAAGGAAGTTACAACAGCCTCCATCATCCCTTTATAAACCCACACCCTACGTCCTATATATTCTATTTCTACAGTCTCTCTCCAATCCGTTTCATCTGCTCATTTTGCACTGGCACTGCCCTAGCTCAGGTTAATACAATTTAATCAGAAATAGATCAACTTCAGCAAATAGTGTGCTACAGGAGAATTTGTCAGCCTTTAGTTTGTCTTTAGACCCATAGGTGGACAGCTAGGTAGCTCAGTGACTAGAGCATTAGGCTTGGAACCAGAAAGACTTCTCTTCATGAGTTCAAATCCAGCCTCAGACACTTATTAACTGTGTGACTCTGGGCAAGTCACTTAAGCTTGCTTTCCTCAGTTTCCTCATCTGTAAAATGAGCTGGGGAAGGAAGTGGCAAAGCACTCCACTGAACTTGCCAATGACTTAACAACAACAAGACCGTAGGCATATTGAAGGTTCGATTTGGGCGGGACCCTAGAGATTATCTAGTCTCTCACCCTTTAATTCCCTGTAGATGAGGAAACTGAGGCCCAGACAGTGATTTGTACAAAGTGAACTAGTTAGTAGTAGAGCCAAGATCTCATAGTAGTAGTTAGTAGTAGCAGCAGCAGCAGCAGCAGCAGCAGCAGTAGTAGCAGCAGCAGTAGCCCCAAATCTTGTAACTCACAATCTAGGACTCTTTCTATTATACAGCACTGACTTAAGAGTAGTTTAAAACAGAAAATGAAGTTTTAAAATTTAACTTGTAAATTAAAGATAGAAAGCTCCACTGTGTCACCAAATTGGAATGTACAATTTCTATAATGCCATATACATAATTATTACAATAAAAGATCTACAGTTTAAACATTTTTTAAAACATTTCTGCCAAACCATAGAACTGCATTGAGATTATTAAAGAGCTGCTTATAAAAATGGGGCTACTGCAGCACCACTGTGAGTTTTTCACTGTTAGTTTCATTGAAGTAGGTAGGTTACTTCAGTGTTAGGTGCATCTTCTTGGAAGGGTAGCTACCCTGAAGCCTTGCCATTAATCTCTCAAAGGAACAAATATAAGATGACTTAATGTATTTCTTTAAAGTTTTATTAATAAGAACTCTAAGAATTTTTACCCCCTGGTGATTTTTATGATATATTTAAAATAATTCTATATATTTGAACTAGAAGAAAAAAAAGGTTACATAAAAATATGCAGCATTAACATTTTTTTTCCTCATTTAGAAATAACTATTGAGGAGATTGACTAGTAACATGAATGTAAATTGTTCAATTAAAGGTGAGTCAGTAATGTAAATGGAGATATCTGACCAGGAGAGGGAGGTTGGCTGGCTGTACCAACTGGACCATTCCCCATTAACAGCAACCTGATGAGGTCACCTCACGGTCCCAATGTGTGGTCATCAACTCTGCAGACTCAGAAAGCTGATTTGTAATCAAGGTTTATGGAACTCATTCACAAGAGGCTGATTTGTAAATCATAATGCCAGTTTAGACATTCATGGTGAGAAGCATAGCTGCCAAAATGACAGGATTATTAGTCAACTGGTGAGGGCATGTATGGAATTGTGGAATCCCAGAGCTGGAATGGACCTCGAAGGCCACGTCGTCCAATAAGTGAATAAGATTCTATTACAACATCCTTGGAATGTTTTTTGTTGCTCTCTCCTGTACAATTTGTGACCCTTTGTCCATAGTTCTTCAGACACTCTATTTACCAAATCTAATCCCTTAAATCTATTCATCACCTCCACTTCATATTCATATGGGAACCAAGAATTTCCAGAAGAGCAGGCTGATTTGCTCATGGTACTATTTATTTGTGTCAGCTCTCTATATATTTTGGGTATTCAATTGATTCTAATATCTTCTCACTTCACCAATTCCTCTTCTAATTATCTTCTTCTAATTCTATTTTGATTTTATTTGTACAAAACCTTCTAAATTTTATTGATCAAAATTGTCTTTTTTTCTTTTTGTATGATCCCCTCTATTTCTTATTTGATTAAGAATTCTTTTTTAAAATAATATTCTATTTTCCCCAATTATGTTTTTATTTAATATTTTATTTTCCACCAATCACATGTAAAAATAATTTTTAACATGTTTTTTAAAATTTTGAGTTCCAAATTCTTTCCCTCCTTCTCTTTCATTCATCCTCATTAAGAAGGCAAGCAGTTTGATATAGGTTATACATGTGCAGTTATAAAAAACATATTTCCATATTAATCATGTTGAGAAGGAAAACAGACAAAAAAACCCCACAAAAAATAAGTGAAAAATAGTATGCTTTGATCTACATTCAGACTCCATCAGTTCTTTCTTTGGAGGTGGATAGCATTTTTCATCATGAGTCCTTTGGAACTGTCTCATTGTATTGCTGAGAATAGCTAAGTCATTCATAGTTGATCATTGTACAATATTGTTGTTACTGTGTACAATGTTCTCCTGGTTCTGCTCACTTCACTTTGTATCAGTTCATGTAAGTCTTTCCAGATTTTTCTGAAATTACCCTGCTCATCATTTCTTACAGCACAATAGTATTCTATCAAATCATATACCACAACTTGTTCAACCATTCCATTCCCCAATTGGTGGCTATCCCCTCAATTTCCAATTTTTTGCCATCACAAAAAGAGCTGCTATAATAAGTGCATTTCCTTTTTTTTTTTTTTTAAATCTCTTTGGGATAGACTTAGTAGTTGTATTATTGGATCAAAGGGTATGCATAGGTTGATACCTGTTGGGCATAGTTCCAAATTGCTCTCCAGAATGGTTGGATCAGTTTACAACTTTACCAACAGTGCATTAGTGTTCAAATTTTTCCACATCCCCTCCAATATTTATCATTTCATTTTCTGTCATATTAGCCAATCTGATAGGTATGAGGCGGTACCTCAGAGTTGTCTTATTTTGCATTTCTCTAATCAATAGTGATTTAGAGCATTGTTTCATATGACTACAGAGAGCTTTGATTTTTTCATCTGAAAACTGCTGTTTATATCTTTTGACCATTTATCAATTGAGGAATGACTTGTATTCTTAAAAAATTGATTCAGTTCTCTATATATTTGAGAAATTAGGCCTTTATCAGAGATACATGCTATAAAACTTCTCCCCCCCAATTTTCTGATTTCCTTCTAATCTTGATTATGTTGATTCTGTTTGTGCAAAAACTTTTAAATTTAATATTGATTAAGAATTCTTAGTCATAATTGTGAGAAGTACTCAATCACCTTTTAAAAATATTTTTATTAAATATTTCCCAATTACATTTTAAAAATTCATTAATGAAAGGATGAAGTTTTACCCACAGAAATATTAATTCATTTCATTCATCTGTTTTCCATCTTATTTTTTTCATCACACTTTTACTCCTTCAACTCTTTATTACATTGATACTATTTGCCATATCTCTTTACTCAATATGTGAGATATTAAAAAAAAGAAAATCAAACAACTTCCAAAACATATCTATCCTAGCTCTACATT